AGAACACAAAGTACCAAATTTCAGCGAATTCGGTCGAAAAATGCGATCAAAACCCCCAAAATACCGAAAATTGGGGGTAATCTTATATGGGGGCTATCCGAAAAAATGGACCTTTATTTATAATTTTTGATAGAGAGATTTGCTACCCAATAAGAACTCAAAGTACCAAATTTCAGCGAATTCAGTTAAAAAACGCGCTCAAGAACCTCAAAATACCGAAAATTTTGGGGTACCCTTATATGGGAGCTATGCCTAAACGTGGACCGATTTTCTCCAATTTCAATAGGGTTCGTCCTTGGGCCAATTAAGTGACCTGTGCCAAATTTCATCCAAATCGGATCATAAATACGACCTGTACTTTGTTAACAAAAATACATGGACGGACGGACGGACGGACAGACGGACGGACGGACAGACAGACGGACATGCATAAATCGACTCAGAAAGTGATTCTATGCATATTCTCAAAAGGAACCATGGGTCTATCTCGATTATTTTTGCCTGTTACAAACATATGCACAAAGACATAATACCCTGTACCACAGTGTGGTGAAGGGTATAATTAGTGCAATAAAATAAACAATAATTACCTGAATTCAGTACAAAAAAATAATAGGTTCGTTCCCGTACTTTTTGATAGTAAAGCTAGTAAAAGAGCGAACTATCAAAAATTACTCTCACATACAAGATTTGCGAAAAAAGTAAAGGAACGAAAAATAGTTAAAACATGAAGAAACGTCAAAATCAAAAATTTCATCAATTAAGGACAAAAAAAAAACTAAAGAAACCTAGTGCACACAAAGAAACAAAAAGTTAAACGGCGTCCATTGTGTGATTTTGATAATATTAATATTTATTGTTTATTTTTTATTTGTATAATTTAGATGAAAACATTATCGAATATTTGGAAGTGGAGTTTCCGACGACTCCAAGTCCGGAAAGCCTTACATGGCTGGACGCTCCCATAATGTTAATGTTTAGGCGCTCCACTCGGATCATTTTGAAATGATTGCCGTAAGTACCCCTCCTTGTGCTGACTACAGTGATAAACATTTCATGTGGGGAAATACATATTTCCCGAGACATTGGCCTTGAAATTTCGGAGCATATTTTGTTTAAAACAACCTTTTTACATATGGACAAGCGCATACATGGCTACGCAATCCAAATTCTTGTTTTAAATTCTATATACTTTATAATGATATATTCTCCATCTAGTTTTAAAGCACAAACCATAACCTTTAAAATGATACTCATATTACCTTGCTGGAAATAGTCAAACGGCTGATAAAAACAACATACTCTCCGAACTTTCAAGGCCCATATCTCGGGAAGTATGCATTTCTCCCCATAAAATATGTATCACTGTAATCAGTTCATCGAGGACTACTTTCTGTAAAAATGTCAAAGCGATCCAAGTGGATCCCCTAAACTTGACATAAGCCCAAGATATTTTGGGCCAATGTACACACATTGGTTAGTACGATTAACCAATAGAACTTGATGATGCACGTTCCCAACCCAGGTCTTCTTTCTATGGCATCTTCATCTGAATCTTCTGCCAGCCATTCATCTTCGCTATCCTCCAAAAGAGAATAAAAAATCTGTTTGTCCTCACAGTGAAAAGTATCCAATAACCAATAAAAGGATTTTTTAGATGGCTAAGGCTAATACTTGATATCCTTTGTTATGACATCCTTTGTTATGTTTTACATCTTTCAACATTGCCGTCATAAATTTTACCAAGTTTTCCGTATAAGATGCCTGAATTTTCCCCCATTCTACTTGTATACTGGAGATGTTAGGACTTCTAACATTTTGCTCCAAAATACTCCATATATTCTGCATAGGATTCAAATCTGGGGACTGTGTTTGAATCACTTCTGGGACTTGCGTTTGGTGTCATTTACAGTAGATATCGGATATAAGCACATCTCATATAAGAAAAAATCACATATAAGAAAGATTATCAAAAACACCGAGCTTATACTTTCTTATATCCGATAATTCCATATAAGAAAAAAAACGCATATAAGAAAGAAATCTCCGGCTTTTTTGAGTTTCTTATATCCGATATCTACTGTAATGAAAACGAGATTTTCTTCTCCGGCAGCGCTTATGCAGCCCCATACCATTACAGAGCCACCCCCGTGCTTTACGATCGGAATAGTCTGCTTATGGTCCACGGCTTTATTCGCTCTGCGCCATACCTAACTTGGTCAATCCAAACGATTTTTGGGGCTTATGAATGGCTTACGCAAAATTCTTCGAATTGTTTTTGGGTAACATTTCTGTTCCAATATTTCTCTGCTTTGGATTATCCATGTTTTCATCTCTTATATTGAATATTTTTTTCTAGCATGTTTTTAGGCTTCTGGCAAATTCGATTCTCGGTTTTGTGCCTCAATATAATTTTTTGGACAGCAGATCGAGTAATATTTAGTATTTCCGATGTTTTAAGTTGAAATTTTACTAGTTCAGCATGGTGAAGAACTAATTTTCTCTCGGCAATCGTTGTGTGGCTTCCCATGGTCTCCAATTCTCACGATGGCTATCCAAATAATAAAATTCTGTCGCAATATTTAACTATATATTTCATGAGAAAATTGACTTTTAACCGTTGGTGATCAATTTACATAAAATCGAGGTTACAATTGATTTTGTTTAACAATATATATTATTTAGGGGTATATTTATATACTTAACCGTTTTATTTCATTAAAACTTTGCATATGCATATAACAACCATTAAAATTTCCCCTCAATCTGAACACCATTTTCATAAAACTTCACAGATCCTGTAGTTAGAAAAATATAGCATCTTTGGGGGACCATTGAAATAGAATCGGACGAAATTAAATGTTGGAAGCACATAGATATTTAAACTAAATTAAAACAATAATTAGTTTGAAATCGAGCAAAATATGTGTGGTGCTATATATAAATGAACGTATTTGAGCAACCGTATGCTGCAGCACAGGGCGCAATCCAAAATATATCTCTAGGTTCTATTTGTACGTTGTGCACTAATTCGTACTAATGGTACAAACTTTAGTTATTTGATATAACATTAGGTGAAATCGGATGAAAATATATATGGAACCTCAATCAGGACCTAATTCAGTACTCAGTGAAAAATTTTATTTTAATCGGACAAACATTGGCAGTATGGTGATCAATTTACATAAAATCGGACGAGACTATATGTAGGGGCTATATCTAAATCTGAACCGATTCCAACAAAACTTTGCATACGCATAGTACTCTGTGCAAAATTTCCCCTCAATCGGATAATTATTGGGAGCTTGGTGCACCATTGCACTTATTACACAAAATCGTACGAAACTATATATGGGTGCTATATCTAAATCTGAACCGATTTTCATAACACTTCACAGACATCAAACTGTACCTAATTTGGTACGCTGTGCAAAATTTTGTCTTAATCGGACAATTATTAGTAGTTTGGTGTACCATTTACATAAAATCGGACGAACCTATATATAGGAGCTATATCTAAATCTGAACCGATTCCAACAAATAGTTGCTAATTCAGTACTGTGTGCAAAATTTTGTCTCAATCGGACCAATATAGGGAGTTTGGAGCATTAATTACACAAGATCGGACGAAACTATATAAGGGAGCTATATCATGGACGGGCATGCATAAATCGACTCAGAAAGTGATTCTCTGCATATTCACAAAAGGAACCATGGGTCTATCTCAATTATTTTTGCCTGTTACAAACAAATACACAAAGACATAATACTGTACCAAAGTGTGGTGAAGGGTATAAAGAATAAAATTTTATTCATTAATTAACACACACGTTTGATCAAAAAACCAATTTAGACTGTGACTCATTGTATATCATTTATGTCACTATTTCTGACGGACTATCTATGATTAACACATCCATAGTTGGACGATTATATAACTATCATTTTAAATTTGATAATTTTATGCGTTCTGAGATAATTACGCGGGTTATTTTCATCAATGTCAGACTTTCAACTAAAAAGAATTGATTTAACAACTTTAGTTTGACAGATGTAAAATTCCAGACCCATAATTTTGAAACCACGAAATGAATAACCCTTTATTAACATATTTAGTAACATTTTCCAGGACCAGTATAAGTTTGACGTCATATTTGTCTTATCAGAAAATGTAATGTCATCTCAGTAGTCAACCGTTTTTCTAGAGGAATATATATTCTCTCAAATGTTTATAATTTTTTTTTATTGACACATCGCTACCTATTTATTTGCTTAAATTTCCCTTGATGTGCAACTTAACTCACACTAACGGTTACAAATGGTAAATAGTCTCGATCTAATTCTTAAAATTTGTGCGAAGACAAAATCTAGAAGCAACATGTTTCAATCAAATAAAAACCAACCCATTAAGTATGAGTATGAATCAATGTTGGCTCTTTTCGTATCTGCTCAGTTAATGGCCAATACTCATACATTCTTCCAACGAACAAAATGCATGCATACATATTGATGTTCGATACGCTGGGCATACAATTATGAATGCAGACAATATCCGATGTGTTTACTTGCAGATAAACAAGTTAATTTTAATTAAACAATTAAAATGCCGGCTAATTCAATGCAGATAAAGTGGGAGAGAGAGAGAGACACAGGTAAGCACATTTTCTTGTGCTCATCAACGGCGGCACGTGACTTGAATGATTACTGTCACACGGTACGGCCGATATGCAGCATAAACGCAGAGTATTGTCAACTATCAACATTTTCTCTAGAGAATTTATTCGTTTTTGGGGAATATTTTGTTGTTTTTATGGCAAAACAAAACTTATTCGACTATATAGTGTTGATGGAGAGTTTTTAGTATTTATCAATGGGTGAGCGAAGGCGTGTCCGCTGGTTTGGCTATCCATAACTCGTTTTCGAATCAACAATCGTTTTATTACAGACCATTCAACCAAGCTGAAAGTTGTGCCTAATTGTCAAATGTTTTATTTTTTTAGGTATGTAATCAAACACCTTGTACAAAAGTGGGGATACGAAGCCAAAAACTTGCTAGTCGATGAAACATGGGATGATTTCGCAGCTGTGGCATGGCATGATACACCTGTGTTTTATGACCCGGCTTACATATTCCCCCAGCACAACAATGGCAAAGACTTCAATGGTTATAACTACGAAACACCGCCTTATGGAGCTGGAAGTGGTTCTTCAAATCACTACAATGACGATCCCTATCAGTTCACCAAAACCTCAACAACTGAAGGTCCCACGTGAGTGATTTCATGCAAAGATAAACTAATCTCGTTTCGACACAACAAATTCTCAATGGTATTTTTTACAGATATTTGCTGTACACGTCAGCAGGTCAGCGTCTAAATTTTAACAAAAATCAAATGTCTTCATTTGCCAGTAGTAGCAGCAGCAGTAATACAAAAACCACACCTAACAATCCCACGCTGTGGCTAAAGCGGATAGTACGTGATATTAGTAAGAAGGCCGCTGCAAACCAAACGGAAAGTCCTCTAATTATCGATACCATCGATGGTAAAGACGCTTCGGCACATCACGTATCTAGTCGTGATGTATCACTCAATATGGATCTCTTGGATATTGTGGGTGTCGATAAAGGTAGTAAATCTCGCGTCAAAAGACAAAGTCCTGGTCGGATGTCGCTATGTCCGACCACATCACGTTTCATAACTCCACAAGCAGCATTAAACAGTAAAGGTACGCTCAATCGAATGAATTAACGATTATTGTTTTCAATATCATATTGTGGTTCTCTTTAGGTAACTGGATGTTTGTGGTCAACGAAGCCAGCACAGCTCGACAAATGGTTAAAGCAGAGTTATGCGCGTAAGTGTTACACATCTTAACATTCTTAGCAATAAAAAAGCAGTAATAAAGAGATATAGTATGGATCGGTCAATTTATATCCATTATGATGATATCAGACTATTTAGATTGAACTTGACGTTCGGATGTTTAGATTTTTACACATAACAAATTCAAATAAGCATACATTTTTAGTACTGGTTAAGACGTTGGTTAAGAGGATCGTGCTAAAGAAAGAGCGGAAGCGTTCCTAACAATTACCAGTAGGGTAGACTGCGGACAAGCCACACATTAACGTCACTCGGAATTTTTTGACCACTTCGACAATTAAACATAATACATATAGTGCATCACAGTCAAAAGTATGCACTTGTTTTTTTTATAATAAAAATGCTATAAGTGTTAACCAATGAATTAAATTTTATTTTTTTTTTATATGGGAACAAGACGATATTAACTAAAAATTAATGCAGTAAATTAAACAATTTTTATGTGAATTCCAAAAAAAATGATTGTTAAACAGAAACCATTGCAACCTCACAATGAAAAAGGGTCCTAAATAAAGTTGTTTTTTCAACAAACGGATTTTTGAATGGTTAAAACTTAATATGACATCGCCGTTATGTTTACAGATCTTATCAAGTTTTCCGTGCAAACTCTATCATGAAGACTATGCTTACGCAAAATTTTTCGAATTGCTTCGGGGTTACATTTCTGTTCCAGATATTTCTCTGTGTGCACTTGTCGGAACAACAACTTTTCGTCTCTTATATTGAATAGTTTTTTCTCGCTGGGTTTGGTTTGTTGCAAATTCGATTCTCGATTTTGTGCCTCAATCGATTAATATTTTTTTAGTTCAGTATGGTGAAAAACTAATTTTCGCTCCTCAATATTTGTGTGGCGTTCCATGGTCTCAAATGTTCACGATGGTTATCCCAATAATCAATCTCACGCGTAAAGTGTAAAAAATTCTGATGCAATATTTAACTTGATGTCAGGCTAAAATGGATTTTGTATAATATTGGCAAATTAATTTCATTAATTTTAAGTTAGGATATTCCTGTTCACATATAAAAAAGTATAAAATTTTATTCATTAACCAGTGAGCGGAGCAGTATAGTCGGACGGGGCCGACCATACGATACCCTACACAACTACCACGAACCCTAACTTTCTGAGGATGTTTATTCCGAGTCTGAGTAATATTTAGTGATATTTGCCCCCTCTTGTCCGATTAGAGGTCAACAACACCTCTTCCTTACTTTTTTCGAATATTCAGTACAGTCCTTCTAATTACTTGTCCAGATTACCTTCACGGTGGGTTGTGCTTTGATTTTCGGATTATACTCGACTCGAAAACACACAAAAAATTAAGTTTTCGGTCCATTTCATCCCAAAATTTTAATCTGATCATCACCGAAAATTGTAGGCGTTGTTCTTGACCATAACTGGAACTTCATGAAAAATTTCAAAGCCATCAGCGCGATATTTCCCCCTCTAATGTGGTAATGGGTTACTAAATAATATCTGAATACGTAAGCACCTGTAAATATTTGACTGTAACTCCCACATCTGAGTAGATACATCACTATATTCGGTATCAATTTAAAGGCCAACCACTCCTCTTGAATATGCTATCAACTTCACGGGTCTACATCCTCCAGGAGTAAATATATATGCCATAGAATACAAATTTTGTAATTTTTCACACAAAAGTCAGGGTCCATTTGACTGGCTAAATATTGACCAATCTTTATCAAAACATGCATGCTTATTCTCTGGCCCGATCCCCTTCTCCATGGAAAAATTCGCGGCCTCTGGAGCGACCAGAAAAACCGACAAAAATAATGTTTTTGGTCCATTTCATCCCCTAAATATTAACCGATCTTTTCCAAAAACAATAGGGGTCTTCATTGGCCAGAACCCATCCTACATGCAAAATTTCGTGAAGATTGGTCCATAACTGTGGCCTGTATCGTGTTTACAAATTATAATGGACAGACGGACGGACGGACGGACGGACACACATGTCTAGATCGATTCAGCTAGTCGAGATATGACGATCGGTATACTTAAAGGTATGTCTAGGACCAATATTTCGTGGCGTTACAAACATTTGGGGCTGCACAAAGCTATAATACCCTGACAACATAGTTGTGTAGGGTATAATTAACACGTCATTTTTATAATGAAAAAACCAAATGGATACTTTTTACTGTGACTCACTGTACACACTTTTATTAGAATGTTCCTCTGTACGCATTCATAATATACAAAATCCGAAATTTGTTGTCTTCCATAAAAAGAATTAATCTACATGAAATTTCGAATAATCTGCTTATTGGATGGAATACTTCGCAAATTCTTCATTTTTAGGGGGTGTACGAATACGGATTATAAATTCTTCATTTTTTTTGGCCCAAGAACGAATCCTATTGAAATTGGGAAAAGACGGTACAGATTTAAATATTTGTTTTCGTGCGATTTAATGTAAATTGTGCACCAAAGTCCCTACATATCTTTCGATTTGCACGAAATTTGACATAGCCCACTGACATGAGTCTAGACTGATGTATATAAAGTTTCCTGAAAATTGGTTCATATTTAGATATAGCTCCCATATATATTTTCCTCCGAATTAATATAAATGGGGCACCGAAGTCCCTATATACATTTTGATTTACACGAAATTTGGCATAGCATACTGAATTAAGTCTAGAATGATATGTGCTAAGTTTCGTGAAAATCGGTGAAAATTTAGATATAGCTCCCATATATATTTTCTTCCGATTTTATGTAAATTGTGCACTAAAGACCTAAAGGCACACAAATTTGTACAATTTACTGAAATTAATCTCTGGCAAGTTTCGTTGAAATCGGTTCAGATTTAGGTATAGGTCTCACATATATATTTTCGTCTGAATTTAGGTAAATGATACACCAAATTCCTAATGTTTGTCCAATTGACACGAAATTTATTGCGTGCAGATGCAGACATAGCTTCCATATATAACTCGAACGGATGTCTGATTGAGATTAAATTTTGAGCAGTGCGACATACCGAATATCGTGTATCAAGTGAGCTATAGATCTATTTACATAAATTTGTCCCATTATACGCATACGACTCTGAATCTGGCATGTTTATTGATTGATGTTAGTCGATTTTTAATTGATTGTATTTTGAAATAACCAAAACTAGTAAATTTTTTTTATATTAATGACAGTTTTCATGTCATATCAATTTCAGTTACATCGAATAATATTTGTTAATAATAGTACGTTTACATTGTACCTGATTTAGTTAACCCAGAGGGTTTCAATTGTCTATTCCATTGCCTTTTTGTCAAATAAATCCTCATAAAGTGGGTTAACCCTGCAAAAAGTTCTAATGTAAAACGGCATTAAAATACAAAAAAATTGTTAAAGAACAAAACAAATTTATGAATGAAATGGAAATCGTAACTAAAGGAATTGTTTATTTTCAAAATTTTTGTGTTGAAAGCAAGGTTTATAGTTAAATATTGCCAAAAATTGACATTTTAAAAATACATATTTATATCTAATTTGTATCCTTTATTTTTTTAATTTCAGTTCAAATACCTGCTCCAATCTTTGCCAATTGCCAAACGGTTATAATTCCAGATGCGAACAAAAATTTGTACAAAAACGCCTGATTGCCCTGCAAGGAAATGGACAAAACTTGTACACAGACAATTTTTGGTTCCCCAGTTGTTGTGTCTGTACTATAGCCGCTAATTAGTACCAATCTATTTAAAAAGAAAACAACACAATTTATAAAACCTTTTATTATTTTTAATGTTAATTTAGTGCTCATATTTTCCATTGTATTGCATTCGCAAAAAGCGAAATTTTAATATTATTAAAACAATTCGATTTTTTCTATTTTCACTAAGTGTACAATTAATTAATGCGATTATGAAAAAACAGAATCATTTCAAAATCTAGCAAATAAAACCTCATAATCATTTCCATGATCTTGTTTTTGATTTACATATATTGATTATTTCATATTTCAATCAGCTGTTCTGAGCAGTGTTGCCAATTTAGCACTTTTTACACTCGTTTAGCACTAAAAAAGTGATCTATCACCTAGCACTTTGTTTAGCATTTTTATTTTTTCTGTAATTTTTTAAAATATATTTGGTTTTGTTCCAAAAAAAATTGTCGTTTTTCGATGACATCTTTACGCATGGAAATTTTCCGATGTTATAAAAGTAAACAAGTAAACAATTTAAAATCAAAAATCGAAAAATTAAACAATTTTTTTAAATTACAGCCACTTCGGTGGAATTAGGTTCTTACACCTTAAATGTACGCAAGTATGAGGGAACTTTTGCATTGGGAGTAAGTCCTTACATAGACCTAGTAGAAAACTCTTAAAGTCACCAAAATACTGAATAATAGAGTTATCGTTCTAAAACAAGGACTCATGTTGAAAATTTTGCTAGGGAGATTTATTATCCAATGAGAATCCAAAATATCAAATTGGAGCCATGTTGGTAGTAAAACGTGTTTATAAGAACTTCTCTAAATAATGTACAAAAATTTATCATTTTAGGTAGGAAGTTTTTTTACCACTCCGAACTACTGAAATCCCCAATTACAGCTAATTAGGTTGGAAAACGTATCTATAATTTTCTATATTTTATATATTGGGTTAACCAATAACGGATTTTACCAACGATACCATTCTGTTAGCATTTTTACTTATGCAGAATTAACACATTTGCGTGAACACATTAGACCCCAATATTCCATCAAAAGTACATCTGAAAGCAGCAAAAAGGGAAGCAATATTTGATAGATGGCTTAATGTTCGAAAGTATGAAACACGAGCTAGAGTATATACCATACACCCTAGATAGGTTGAATCATTTGTTTAAGGTTGTTACTGCATTTTGAAATTTTAAACGGTGAGCGGTGTAAATCAACCAACTTTCCAATAAGTATATATCGTTTTAGGGTTTGTAAAAGATGACAGCCTTTGTCAAAACAACTTGGAATCATTTCTTATTGACCACGAGTACCAATCATAAAATGATTTTAATGTTTTATCAAGTTTGCAATGTCTAATTTCTGTTGGGAACAGTCAAATCCTTAATTTTACATTGACCCATACTCATACACTAAAAAATACTTGCACATTATGTGCTTGACTATGTTGAAGTTGATCAAGAAGATCGTTCACTTATAATGAGCTGAGGAGCGGTACTATGATAAACCCTTATCCGACTCATTTTTAACTGTCATAGTTTTAGAGATCAAGGTTCCATTGCAAACTGATTGAGGTCTATTTGAAAGATAGAACAACAAAATCATTGGAACCAATGACTTTGGATGTAACTTCTTTGAATCAATTTATAACACAATGGCATTTAATATTCACATCACTAACTACGTCATCTAATGTTTCTGAGTTAAGTCCATAGTAGAAAGGGTCAGTGTCTAGAGAAGCTATATTAATAAGGTTTTCATTGATTTCATCGACATCAGAATGATACGTTTCAGGAGCACTACATTTTCCTAGACCAAACCATTGATAACTGTCCATTTACTTTTTGAGTCCAGTGCAGACCTAAAGTTTGTGTGGTAATAATCATATTTTGCGAAGTTTATGCAACTATTTACTCTTCGTCTGTCGGCACGGAACTCACTCTTAAAGATCTGGCGTTTTAAATTTCTTTCACCACGAATAAGCTATACAGTGACCGACAAAAGTGTACATACGGACAATATTTTTTCAGTTCTCCAAGTCCATCAACTATTTGAAAAAATGTAACAATGCAGTTCTGTTTGGTAGTTCATTTTATTCATAAAAGCAATAAATATTCATAAAAAACAAAAAATAAGTCATGACAGAAGTCTACATACGACGTATGAACTAATGATAACAAATTTAATTTGTTGGTCCACCATGAGCATCTATAACTGCTTGCAGTCGTCTGGGCATTGAATTTACCAAATTTCCAAATATATTGTACTTCGATTCGTCTGTGAACAAAACTTGTTTCCAGAAGTCAATTCCCTTATCAATATATTTTAGGGCGAATTCCAATCGAAGTTTACGATTTTTTTTCGCTTATAAGTGGTTTTTTTCGAGGGGTTCGACTGTGGAAACCGTTGTTATTCAAAGTTCTTTGTATAGTTCGTGGATGTACAACTGTTCCCGACCTTATTGCAAGTTGTTCGGCTAACTTTGTGGCATTTTCTTTCGGATTTTTAACCACTTCTTTCAGAATGAAGCTGACGTCTCTCCGATTAAGCTTCCTTGGTCGGCCAGTGCGCGGTTTGTTTTCAGTTGTACCAGTTTGATTATAGTTATTAACTATAGTTTGAATCGTTGATTTACTCAAATTTAATAATTTGGCTATTTCCCCTAGCGATTGTCACAAATAAAAACTTCTAATACGCTGTACAAATCAAAACTGAATAAGCTTAGTCTGAGTCAAAAACGAAGCTAAGAGAATTAAAAAATAACTGTACTTTTTACAGTTGTCTTTCAACATGTTACAATAACATTGAGAAAGAGAAACTGATCTTATGTAGACTTTTGTCATCACTAATATTTAGTTTTTTTATGAATATTTTTTTTTTTAAATTTGATGTAAAGTTATTTTTTTTCTTTTATTAATTAAATAAACTATCAAACAGAACTACATTGTTACTTTTTTCAAATAGTTCATAGACTTGTGGAAATAGACTTGTGGTTCATAGACTTTTGTCGGACACTGTATACCTTTTGTCGATACACGTTTTAATAGAAATACGTATATACTTATTACAAAATAGCAATCGATTTATCGATTATTTTTCGGATCGACCCCATATAAGATTACCCCCCAATTTTCGGTATTTTGTAGTTCTTGAGCACGTTTTTCAACTGAATTCGCTGAAATTTGCTACAAAGGGTTCTCATTGGGTTCCTAATTTCTCCCCAAAAAATAGAAATATAGGTAAATTTTTTCTGGTAACCCCCATATAACGGTACCCTCTAATTTGCAGTATTTCGGGCGTTTTGATCATATTTTCCCACCGAATTGGCTGTAATTTAATATTTTGATTTCTTAATAGTTACCAAAACTCTCCACGAAAAATTATGAATATACGTCCATTTTTTCGGATGGCCCCATATAAGGGTACCCCCAATTTTCGGTATTTTGAGGTTCTTGAGCGCGTCTTTCAACCGAATTCGCTGAAATATGCTACAATGGGTTCTTATTGGGTTCCTAATTTCTCCACAAAAAATTATAAATATAGGTCCACTTTTTCTGGTAGCCCCCATATAACGGTACCCTCTAATTTGCAGTGTTTTGATCATATTTTTCAATTATTATATATATTTTCCATTATTAGTATGGTAACAAATCTCCTTACCAAAAATTATTAATATTGGCCCCATTTTTGGGTAGTCCCCATACAACCCCCTTGTTTATATTTGATTTTTTCCGCGTTTGGGCTTATTCACATGTTTTCGCATTCCACCATAGTAGTGTAT